CGTTAGATGGAGTAAACAGTTTTCTTTGCTGATCCTAGAGAAAAATATTTTATCAAAGATACCTGTAATAACCAAAAACAACAGATAAGAGACAAGTAGACATGTAAAACAATAGAAAACTAGTGAAGATAGTTTGAAGTCAAAGACAATTAAGACAGCAAACACAGTGTTAAAGTTTGTGGATCCGAACTAAATGATAGACACCAAATAGACGCAGAATAATCAAACTAAAAGAAACTAACACAATAATAATATAAGTTAATACATGCTTGAAGAATGAACTAACAAATAATTTAAAATTTTTTTTGATAAAAAATTTTTTTTGTTAAAGAGGTAAAGTTTTTTTATATAGTCCGAATCAAGGCAACTTTGAGACCTTAACAAAATCGAAATTTCAAACAGTAGAGTTTTCTCAACGGTCCGAACTAAACGTTGTTTGAGACCATAACAAAACCAACAACGAAAAGCCATACATCAACAAAATATATCAAAAGTTGTAAGGTTTTAAGAATCGTTTTTATATATATTTTTATATATGAATCATAAAATGAACAATCAATCACACACGATAAGCACATATACAAAACATACAAATCTGTATATACACTACAACCACATACAATCTAATAAAAGAAAATATTATCTAAAAAAGGATGAGTTCAAACAAAGATAGTTTATCTAATAAAAGAACAGAAAGCATGCAAAACGATGTAAAAAGGCTGTATGAGCATAAGGGTATATAGGTGTAATGTGTAAGTCTGTTCCGTTTATGTCGTTCAGTAGAGTTTTGTGTTGTTAGTAACCAACGTAAAAGATATATCTCTGAACTACACCAAGCCAGCCCAGTCATACTCCAGAAAACTATGATGGATTAAACACCTATGCATGGATTTATAACTGAATAATGACTAAAAAGCTAGCCCAGGCATTTTCCAGAGATAAACATCCTCTTTCGCGGTGACAGTAACTGTGATTTAGAAAATAGTCGTGCTCGATGACCGTAACACTAACTCTTACGGGCTAGGCCCAATATTACTTAAAAACTTTGGCATATAAAATTCACCGAACGGTCACACACGAGCAGTGAACACCCGAGGGAAGAAATGAAGTTCATTAGAATATAGAAGAATTATTTATCGAACGAAGCATATTTTGACAGTTGTCAAGACAAAAATTAAGATTAATAGAGGAATATGTACTTATTACTTTTTTATTTCAGCGCAAGTTTTACTGTAATACTTATATAAAAACAGATTCAAGAACATTTAACAATTATGTTTTAAAAATGTTTCTGCTGGGAAACAGCTTACCAACATATACAAACATTCCTTTTTGAGAGATTGCAAAACATATTTTTTTCAATAGTTTTACTTATTGTACTAAATATGTTCTTGCTATTTTTAAAGGCAAAACGAAGTTTTCAATAAAGATGATGATCTTATTGTGTGAATTTTTTTACCTAACAGTTAAGATTTTTGAATTTGTAAAAGTTTTTAGTTAAATACGCATAACCATTTTAAATTTTTATGTTATCAATAATTTTTCATTTATTGGTAAGGTTGTTACAAAAACATCAGAAACGTCAATATAGAAATACTTATGCTTAATAAGTTGAATATTGAAAATTATCTTTTGATCTCAAGAAGTTTTTTTCCTGGTTGCAAGAAGTTGATTTCATTTTTAAAGTTCAACAAAGGTTTTGTTTTTTTCCTTAAATGTTTTGGTGAGTTTTATTATTTTACAATACTTTCATTGAATGAATAAACAATTTAAAGATTTTTAAATTGTTTATTCATTCAATTAAAAAAAAAGTAAAAAAAACCTTTAATTGTTTTCGAAAAAACAATTTAAGGTTTTTAAAGTTGATTAAGTAATTTATTGGCTATTAATTGTGAGATCATCATAAGTTGTTAATAGTCTTATTTTCAACTTGCTACTTTGCGCAACTGTTTTGTTAAGGTTTGTGTTTTGGAATAATAAAAAATATATATGCATATTAAATGTCTATGATACCTAGATTATAATCTAGGTATCATAGACATTTATTATTCATATATATATATATATATATATATATATATATATATATATGAATCGTTTTTAATTTCAAAGTGGTTAAAAAATTGTCAACTCAATTTATCTTCCAAAATTGTTTTTATCTTCGCTATTTATCTGTACCGTTATATTTATTAAACATTGATACCATTATTGAATCTGACTATTCAATACGAATAGCCAGATTCAATAATTAGAGCAGCCGCGGCGCAATGGTAGCGCACTTGCCTCAGAAACGTAAGATCTGTGATTCAAACCCCACCTCTGGACAAGTTTTGCGACATCGGTTGGGAAGGAGGCGTGAACTTCCTATTAAATGCTCTTCCGCGGTGCTCTGTGATAAGACCGTTAGGACTTCTTGGGGCACCTAAATCAACATAAAAAAAAAAAAAAATTAAATGTATAATAATTATACAATAATTTGTATTACTGGCGTCTTTAATACGAATTAAAGACACCAGTTACACAAAATCGGTCATATTTATTGCTTATCAATTAGTCTAACGTTTTATTCATTAACCCTGAAAAGCAATTTTTATACATCTTTTTTTATAAAAAAAAATTATGCCAAAAATAAAACCATTGGTATTCGGTATTACTCTACTTACGTGGGGTAATTCCAAACACACCAAATCAAAAAAATTATAGCAAAAATAAAACCATTGGTGTTCGGTATTACCCTACTTACGTGGGGCAATTCCAAACACACCAAATTATAAACACTGTTGTGTAATAACGAATAAAATGCTTATTGTAATAACTAAGAACAAAAATTATATTATGCAACAACAACAAAAAAAGGAGTGGTTTTATATCTTCAGAAGCTACAACAGAGTGTTACTCAAGAAAAAAGTTGCATAAAATTATCAGAAAAAGTTTAAATCAAATTATAGTGAACAATAACTGCAACTTCCTTACAGTACTGCATGTCTGGAACTGAGCCTGGGATACCATCTCAGCAGGTAAAAATAAACTGTCAAATTTATTTTTCTATAATGTTGTTTTGACCATGTTCGGAGTTATCCCGCGTTCGCCATTACCCCACTCTCCCCTAGTGTATTAATTTGTCTAGTTTCCTAGCCGGCATTTGGTCTCAAAAAGACGTCTTTTAAACGTTCTGATTGTCTTTTTAACGTTCTAAAGACGTTTTTTTTGCCGGCTGGGTTGGTGTTACATATGAGTAGGGGAGACCGGGGCTAGTTGCATCAAGGTAAGTTACAACAATGCGTTTTACAAAATGGTTATTATATTTTATTCATAATTTTTTTTTGTCAGCTAATTTGTTATAATTATAACACGTCAGCTATATAAAACTTATATTAATGAATTGAAAATTTCAAAAGTTATTGATATATATTTTTTCAATTTGAAAACCTAATTTTCGTTTTCAAAGTCTATTTTGGGTTTAACTGTAAACTTAGAGATATTTGACGATAATAAAATTATGGTAATTTAAAAAAAGATTTTTTTCATACACTTAAAGCAAAAAAAGTAGATTTATTTAATAAACATAATTATCTGCATCGATTAAAAAGGTCACCATGCCTACGGAGCAAGTTACAACGAAGTGGTTGAGATGAGTTGAATCATAAAGTAATTGCGGGTTTTACTGATTTCACGCACTTTTTTAGTTATTTCTAAAATAATGGACGTTTTTTTTAACAAAGTAATTAGTTCTAGAAATCAAAAAAAAAAAAAAAAAAAAATGTTAGATTTTTAATAAAAAAAAAAAAAAAATGAATTGAAATTAATTTTTTAGTTTTTTAAATACTTGCTTATTTTTTAATAAAAGTTTATTGCTAGGAAGTTCTTTTTTTTTTGTTGTTATCGTTGGACATTTGTTGTGTTTTGTTACAATCAAATTTGTTTTTTTACTACGACAATTATTCATTTTTCAGTGAATTCTGCAAGGCTTATAGTATTGTGTTGCAACTAAGTATTGTGTTGCAACTAACCCCAAATTATCCCGGTGCGGAGTAAGTTGCAACATTTTTTTTTCCTATTTTGTTTCTTTATTGCAAATATGACAAAGTTTGATATTATATTTATCAGTGTTGAATTAATAAGTCACTAAGATCAAATTTATTACCCTGAAAAAAAAAAATCAAAATTATAGATGATAAATGTCGTTTTTAAATTTTTTTTACAACTAGCCCCAGTATCCCCTAATTTCTTTTTTAACCTTTTTGTATTTTTTTAAAATGAAAATAAATTAAATAAAAAATAAAAACTTCGATAATAAAAACTTTAATTCCTTTCAAATAAATGTTTTATTAATTGTCAAATTATGTTTCTTTATTTACTTTGCTTACATACTTTTGAGCAATTTTGCAGTGCACAAATATTTGGGGTAAAAAGGACTAATAATTTAGGGGTTATTCTGTTCAGAATCTCCAATTACTTTATTTTTTTTTTCAAATAATCTAATTCATTATAGATTTAAACGTAATTAAATTTCACTCCATTATATCAATACTTCGACATCAATATGAATGTCCTCGGCGAGATATACAGCCGTAATGTTAGTTTGAGTTGCAGAGTACCGCGTTTTTTGCAGTTGATCTGATCTGAGCGAACGCGATTCTCCAAAAAATCGTCATAAGGAAAAGAGCTGTTATTTTTTACCTATTTTTTGTTAGTATGGATAAATTTGATATTTAATAAGGTTTTTCAACTAAATCATTTAGCCTTGAGCGTTTTCATAAAAATTACAGTTATGTTAAAAGTTTTTTATTTATTGATTCTTTTCTCAAATTTTACACAATTACTTACTAATATTTCTAAAACAATAGCAATGCAGTGCGTTTGTCTTATTCCTGTTATTTGTTGTTATGTTTTCCATGTTATTTTTATCTTCACATTCGATGGCAAGAGTATCTAGTTGTAATAAATAAACATACTTATCCAATTATATTTATAATGTTTATTTTTGTTCTTCTATATTTTATAAGAAGTACACAACCAAATAAAGTTTATGTTTTTATGCTATGGGAACTTGTGATTTGGACAGGTATGTTTATTATTATTCAAATTATAAAGAGATAATATTTATGCAATATATATATTTACAGTGTTGCATAGATTATTATTTTTTATTTGTATTTTCACAAAAAGGTTTGAATAGAATTTTTATTTTTTACTAATCTAATTTAAAGAAGCTATTTGGTATAAAGGTAGTAGGCTAAATAAGTTTAAGAATTAGGTGTGCTATTTAGGCTGGGATAATAAAAATAGGGTAGGGGGGGGTAGTTTTTATTATATACGAATAAAAAATATATATATTTCAGTTAGAAGTCTTTGTTTTTGGTGAAATGGTGTCTAATAGTGAAATGGTGGACAAATCTGATATATGTTATAATTCTAACTGTTTTTGTGTGTGCATGTGTATTTAAATGCTTAATAAGTCAAAGATTTTAATATTAACTTTAAAATATAAAGTAAAGTTAAAATATTAACAAAAAATTAAATGTTATATTAACATTTACATGCGTAACAACATAAAAAAAGTAGCTCTACTAAATAAAAGTTTAAAAAAATAAACAATCTGATCAGAATTTAATGTACCATTTGGTTGGTTTAAGTGTCTTTTCCTTTGTTTGGGCAACATTTTTCTGTTGTTTTCTACAACTTGCATAATATTCTGGAACTTATTTTCTTTCTTAACAGTTCCCGCAAAGTCACTACAAAGCTTTACTTCACATTCAGCAGAATCATTTACAACACATAAACCACATTTTTTGAAACTAGAAAATTTTCGTTTTTTTTTCCATTCTGTAACTAGTTCCCTGAGAAAACTACTATTTACATTTAATATGGTGAAAAAATTGGGGATTCTTCACCAATAAAATCAGTCAAGTCATTCATAGTCATTTAAGGAACTATTGGAAATATAGGTTTACCAAACACTGACCCTTTTCTTTTTGAAGTTATTTCATTCAATATCACATAATTTGTTAGTGATAGTATTTTATTTGAAATCTTTTGCCTCTGCTTGTCATCTAAGTTATTAAATAGAGACAGTGGAGCTAAATCCTCAGTGAGATACCACATGTGATTGCTGAAAGCTTTCAGAGCAGCATTAGCAATAGATAAATCATTAAATTAATACTCTAATAATGAATTAATAAGATTTAAATTGTTAGTAGGAGCTGCTGAAGATATAAGTGCACTGAGCCACCATGGAATATAACAAAATACAACAAACTGAACAATCCTTTGTAGCTTAGGAAGTTTTTGTAGAGCAAAAATTGTTCCTTTAGGAAGCTGGCTGATGTTTTTGTTTAGCAGTACAAGTTTTATAAAATATAACAACTTTGCCATCTGCCTTGCATTTTGCAATGCGCCTGATCTAATAAACCCAGAGAATAGCACATTTTGCAACAACAATGTTAGTTGAAGTTCTCTATAATTACCTCTGTTGAAATTTTGCCTCATTGCTTCTTGGCAAAAGATTAGTAATGGCATCTTTTTTGTTTATCAAAGACTGTGAAATTTTAGGGATGTCAAGGTCTTCAATAGTTTTACAACTCAGATGTTCAAAGTTTTCCTTAAATCTAAAAACCAAACAAAGCAGTCATTCAATAAAAAATAATAATAAAACATTTGACTAAATATGTAGATTACCTTAAAAATAGATTGATATTAAGACCTTTTGAAACATTTCCAAACTGTTTTATACATGAGTTAGTATAATCTCTCCTATGTGATGTTGGCAAGCAAGCCACAGAAGTGGCCTGTTCAATATATTTTACATTGAAACACAGCCTGCAGTTATAGCCCCAGTATTTGATGCTGTTGTGTCAAACACCATGCCTGCCACTCAATGTGTGCAGTTCCAATCTTCTTATAATGCATATGTTGCCTTGGCAATCACAGGTCCTATCTTTCTCAGTGGACTTATATGGCAGCGCTGGTACACCCAGTAATTTTACTGAAAAATGGGAAACCTTTGTTCCCTAACATTTTTGTTGTCAAGGGAATTCATTAACTTTTTATCCTAATGAACTACACCAACGTTTGGAGATTTCTAGGATCTCTTTATCTTGGTAGTGATTGTGTGCATACACTCCATTTTGTTCTAAAAGGGTTTAAAGTAAAAAACACAAAAGTAAAAATATTGATGATTGAATTATACTTTATGGATCCAAAGTAAAATTAACCAAAAATTAAAAGTATCAAAAATTAAAAAAATTTTCTATTACAATAGAAAGTAATATTTCAAACAAAACAAGGAATTTCCATTTTAATATATATACATATATATATATATATATATATATATATATATATATATATATATATATATATATATATATATATATATATATATCAGGGGCTATTCTAGGAAAAAAATATGGGCAGTACCCTCCGTCTTGGAGAAATTTAGCGGAATTGCCAAATATCCGCAGAAAAACAATATTAGCCGTAAAAAGCATTTTAAAAAAAGGCCCTCCGTTTTTTAATTTGGCGGTGCCCAAATACGGTCAACACTGTCGAAAACGGTCTAAAACAGCCCCTGCATGTATGTATATATATATATATATATATATATATATATATATATATATATATATATATATATATATATGTATATATATATATATATATATGTATGCTGTATGCTGTTGTGAAAACAACAGCATACAGGTATATATATATATATAAATATATATATATATATATATATATATATATATATATATATATATATATATATATATATATATATATATATATATATATATATATATATATACCTGTATGCTGTTGTGAAGCTCAAGTCAACTCTAGAAGAATCACCAGAGGTGGCACAAATTATTGAGTGAAATAAAGAACAGTAAGTGTAATCTTTTTCCTAACAGCTGTTTCAATAACTTTAGGTGATTTCAGAATAATATGTGGTATAAACACAGTTGTGCCAGTTTTCAAGCTTCTTTTGTGAGAACACTGCTCAGTTTCATTAAAACATCCAAGTTCATCATGATCAAGACAACCGTCGTCTATCTGCATTAAATTGTTCTTAGAACATCTCAAGATATTTAATTGCCGTTCTTTTTCTTTATGGATTCTTTCTTTTTCAGCAAATTTTCTGTCATGAAATTTTTTATCCACAAGGCTACTTTTATAATTAACTGAGCCCATGGATGCTTTCCTATCAGTCATTATGCTGATCAGAAGCTGTTTATCCTCTGCATCAACCAATTTATCTAGCATACCTCGTGGCCTGAACCTCATTATTTTTGTTAGCTCGTCTTTAAATCCAATAATATTTTGGTATTCTTGTCAGTTTTTTCTATGGGGATGGTCAATTTTTAACAGATTTTAACTTGTCAAATAATTTCATAATTTTATCTGCCATTTTATTTAATGGTTTGTACTCTTGCCCAATTATAAAATGGTAGAATTGATTTTACTGTTTCATTTGCAGCATCTCCCTTAGATTTTGTGGTAAAGTGTGCAATAACACAAATGGAAAATAAAAGACAATTTTGTACAAAACTTTAATTGCATTTTTTATTAAAATGAATATCCTTAAGATTTTCTGTAATAATATTATAAAATACATTTATTAATATAATACTCCAATTAACATTCTAGTAGTTTAACCCTGATAATTATAAGTTTTTCCTCCTGATTATCAACAAATTTTGAAAAATTGTGGAAATCTTTAAATTTTAACTGAAATCTGCTACCACTAAAGATTGTCCATTTTTCATAAAATTTCGGATTTTTACTATTTATTATGAACCTCACCCACAAAAAAAAGTCAGACTTAATCAGAGAACATGAGGGTGGCAGGATCACCCTAGTATACAGGCATACTGAGCAGAAAATTTACTTTAACTTTTCTTTTTTGATAAATTTTATACCATAAAATAATAGCTAAAATTTTAAATTTTATACCATATAATAATAGTTAAATATTCAAGTTGGTTGGTTAATTCAAAAAGTTCTTTTCAAAGTTAAATTGTCAATTTGGAATGTCTATTAACCTTTTTTCTGTTTGGTAAAATTAGATCTTTTAATCTGATTTTTTTGTTTTAAGGTTTTAAATTTTAACAATTGAATTTACAGTTTGGTATGGTTTCTCATACATGGCAATGGCTTATACAGAGTGTCTTCAAGGGTTTTTGCTATGAATCTTTAACAATCTGCATTTGACATGGAAGCCTTTTCTGTTATTATTTGTGTTGTGGCTAGTCAACTCATTGGTTTCTGGTTCTTGTTGCACAGACTGGTTTCTGCTTGCACTCATAATTTTATATGCAATTGATTTCAACACATAAAATTGTTATAATTATTTGATTGCAATAATTATGTATTTAGTTGCAACAATATGTAATAGACTGCTATGTCTGACCACGCTTATAATACTTTGTTGCAACCACTCTCCCACAGTTTTTCACTTATTCCAAATGCGTGCTAAAATATTATTTTTTTCTAACATTTTTTTATTGAAAAAAAAATTAATCATTTAAATAATTTGTGTACTGTAAAAAGCAACAGATATCCAAAATTGCAAAGCGCTAAAAGATTAAAAGTGCTAAAAGAATAGAAAGGTAATATAAAACAATTAATGTTAAGTGATGGCATAATTAAAGCTTACAAATTACATTAAAATTATACAAATGTATTTTACAAACAGTTAGCAATTTATAATTTATGCTTTCTTTGTTTTTGAAACATAGTTTTTTCTTCAAATTAATGAAATGCCTAATATAAAACTTTCAAACGAACATGACCAAGCTGTCTCAAAAAAAAAACTTATGTGTTGACATATGAGAGGAAAAACTGCACTCGTATCCTGGGAAGGCTTTAGTGAAGTTTTTTTTGTAAATGTCTCCATTGTCATTTTTTAAATAATTTGCAAAAGTTAGCTTTTTATTACTCATTTTTGAGTAAAAAAGCTTTTTTTTACTCATTTTTGAATAGTTCTCAAAACATCTAAAAAGCCATGTTTAAGTTGCAACAGCAAAATACTATATGTGTGATTAGGAATACTGAATTGCC